GTGCCACCAGGGCTGGTTGTGAAGAGACCAAGTTTAGTGTGCAAATTAAACAAGTCCCTGTATGGACTTAATCAAGCAAGCAGATAGTGGTATGAGGAATTAACTGAAGCACTATGTATTAAGGGTATACTCACTCAATGCTTGATTACTCTATGTTTTATAAGAAGACTAAAGGATTAGTAGTGTTAGTGGCTGTCTATGTAGATGGTGTTCTTGTCACAAGCACCCACCTGCAAGAAATTGAGTCCTTGAAAAACTTTCTGCACAACACATTCAAGATAAAAATCTTGGGAAGACTTCATTACTTCCTAGGATTAAAGGTTCAATGCACAGACAAAGGAGCTTTGATGTCACAGAAGAAGTTCACTATGGATCTTTTGAAAGAGTTTGGCTGTATAGATTGTCCTCCTATGACTTCTCCTCTGGATTCATCTATGAAATTAAAAGCTGATGAAGGAATCATATTAATAGATCCTTCCTATTACAGGAAGTTGATTGGAAAGCTCAACTTCCTCACTAATACTACGCTAAACATTGTTTATAGTGTATAACATCTCAGTCGTTTCATGCAAAGTCCCAGGGAGTCGCATTTAAAAGTTGCATATCATGTCCTAAGGTACTTGAAAGGTGATCCAACATTGGGAATTTTCCTTACTAATGATGCAGATTACATAGTGAAAGTCTTCCGTGATTCAGATTGGGCTACTTGTCCCCAATCCAGAAAATCAATCAGGGGGTACATAGTATTACTTGGGGACAACCCCATCAATTGAAAATCTAAGAAGCAGTCCACCATTTCCTTATTCTCTGCAGAAGCTGAGTACAGATCAGCTAGGATGGTTGTTGGAGAACTTGTCTGGCTGGCCAGGCTTCTTACTAAGCTCACTGTTCCTCTATCCTTACCCATTCCCATATTCTGCGACAGTCAAGCTGCCCTACACATAGCAAGGAATCTTATGTTCTACGAGCGTATGAAGCATATTGAAGTGGACTGTCATTTTGTGCGAGACCAATTGCAGGAAGGATTGATTACCCTACACCACATTTCTACTAATAACCAATTAGCTGATATTTTCACCGAGTCTTTAATAGGAATCAAACATTCCACATTTCCTGGCAAGTTGGCAGTGAGCCCCTCACCTCCAACTTGGGGGNATAGTTACAATAGTGAGTGGAATTAGTTAGTGAGCTGCCATTAGTTAGTTGGCTAGCCTAGATGCTAGTATATTCTACAAGTAAGGATACTAATTGTATTTTTTCATTTTGAGTTGTTGAAATGAAGAGTCCAGCTCCCTTTCTAGAAACTTCACTCATACTCCCTTCCTTTCTGTACATTCTATGATTCCTCCAATGGAGCTCCCACTAAGCTCGTGTTTCATCCATTGATTTTAAAATTTCACAGCCACAACCATACTTGTTTCTCTCTAACATTCACCTAAATGTTGATATACTAATATTGAGACATGCAAGGAAGCTGGTGTCAAAGTTTAAATGAACTATATGATACAACTAATGCTTGTACGTTTTATTGTATTATATGATTAAATTGAATTGTTTAAAAGGTTAAACAAAAGAAAGTTGTTTCTCAAGAATGTTATAAAGATCTTTAATTTTTCTTCAATGTGAAACATACAAAAATCACACAAATAAATTAATTATTAATCTTCTAGCAATGAAAAAGACATAATATCAAATCCCTAAACGCGTATTTCTTTTTCTGGGTTGGTTGTTAGTAGAATGGAAACTGACTTAGCAATAATAGTAATTCCACATGAAATGTTGTTGCAACTTGTAAGTATGGGCATAACGATAAGATAGGCTGACCGCTTATCTTTGATTAAGGTTCAAACAGTTCCTTTATACTAATAGTTTTGTTTTTACTTTGGAATTAAACTAGGAAAAAAAGAAAAGTAGCTAAAAGGTGTTAGAAATTATAATACTATTGAATTTTTAGTTTAAACCAAAAGATGGATAAGAGACTACCACTCGAGGAAGTGGGGAGAGGGAAGTGATCATAATTACCGTTATGGGCGACTTTCCAGCCATGCCCCATGACCTCTTGGGCGCTCCCCATTGCGTCCTGGCAAGCCTCTCAATGTCTTGCGTTACAGACGGTCTCGTGGTCTTGGCTGCGCCAAGTGACAAGTGCGCATGTGTCTCTGTCGCCCCATCGATATCCCTTGCCAGCTCCCGGCCGCAGGCAGATGCCAACAGCGCCGCGGGCACAGACAACGCCGCGCGCACAGACAACGCCGCGCGCACAGACCGTGATGTCAATGACAATGTTGCTGATAACGGACCTATTTCTGCTTTGCAGAAAATTAAGTCTTTTTTATTGTAAATATAGAGTAGTTTTATTTTATGTACTTCCATTATTATTTTTCTAGCTTAGAGTCTAGTCTTGTAACTTTGGTTTATTTTTTTAAGCATTATTAGGGGGTATCAAGCATTCAAAACTATCTAGCAAACAAACAATTCTCTGTACTGGTGTCTCTCCTCCTCGACACCGCATTGCCTTTCTGTAATAGCTTTCATTAATGCAATCAAACTTTCTTTCATTCTCAATTCTCATTTATGTTCTTTCAATTGCTCTTGACATTGGTTTTTCCGTATGACACTGATAATATCGTCTAGCATACGGAGGGGGACCTCAGCGGCGGACAGTAACTGCACTGACATCAGTTGCTTAGCCTTATGTCGCCTAACCAAGGAATCATAGGAAGGCATCGCGTAACAATTGGTATCAGAGCCTAGGCTCGACATCAGACGAGGGAACATATTGCGATTACTACCATTTCTGACCATGGTGAATCATCGGGAATGCATTACGGCCCTCGAAGAGGTGGTTGACATATTACAGCCCATCGTGGATACGGTGCCTAAAATAAGAACCAGCCTAGTGCAAAGGTTGGATGACCTGGACCGCAGAATGCTCCAGGCCGAAGTTGACATAGAAAACATCAATCACGACTCAGAAGGAGACCGACAAATGGCAGCCACAGAGGAAACCAAAAATTTTGGCAAATTCGAGAGCCTCCAACAGGAGCGTACCGAGGATTTAGCCCACAGGGCACAAGAGGCAGACAAGATGACTGCCATGCAATAAACTATTGACAACTTGACAGACTAGCTCAATATTGTCAATGCTGCTTTATAAGGCCTGCTTCGAGGAGGCGGAAACCAAATTGGGGTGCTGTGAACCTCGCCTCCGCGACGCAAAAACTAAAAATTCCTGATCCAAAGCCATACAGTGGAGCTCAGAATGCCAAAGAAGTGGAAAACTTCATCTTCGACATCGAACAGACTTCGATGCCGTGGGGGTCTAGAAGAAGCTAAGATGGTAGCAACTGCTGCCATGTATCTTTAGGGTGATTCTAAACTATGGTGGCTGGTGAAATATGAAGCCATCAGGGCCGGTGAAGGTGCTCTCGAGATGTGGGCAGAACTGAAGGCATCCATACGCTTATAGTTCTTCCCCAAAAATGTTGAATACAATGTAATGAGAAAGCTATGGGAGCTCCGCCAGACCAAATCAGTGCAGGACTATGTGCGGGAATTCTCTGTGCTCATACTAAACATACGCGACATGGGGGACAAAGACAAGCTCTTTACTTTCTTAGAAGGGTTGAAACCTTATGCCCGTATGGAGCTGCAAAGACAAAGGGTGGATACCCTACCCAAGGCGATCCAAGCAGTTGAATGCCTTGGGGACTATCAAGTGGAAACCCGAAAGGATAGGCCTCAACCGACTGCCCGAGCGGGATCCAAAGGAGGCCACCCTAGCAATGGTGTCCCTAGCAGAAGTGGGGGAGATCGAAGTACAACCAAATCAAAGGCTCCCTCCTCAGGCAGCAATAGTGTTGCATCAAACAAAAATGATCAGGGGAGAAAACCCCCTTTAGGATGTTGTCATTGCAGCGGAACACATTGGAATAATGAATGTCCACATGCACATATGAACGCCCATCAAGCTTTTGATGATGGGACGGATGACGACACATACGATGCAGACCAGACCGAACCAGTAGGTGCCTTCAATGCAATTGTTGGCTCCATTTTTGAGGCCTTAGCGGGAACCAGTGCTGGTATCTATAAGAAGAAGGACCCCTTTCCAAGCACCAAGAAAGGGAAAAGAAGGCGGATGAGAGAATTTCTCCTAAATAAGAGAGGACCTTAATGTTCGTAGAGATGAAGGTAAATGGCAAGCCCATTCGGGCAATGATAGACACAGGTGCTACCCACAACTACTTAGCCTCGACTCAGGTGGAGCGCCTTAGTCTAGTTGTAGGAAAGGGCAGAGGTAGTGTCAAGGCTATCAACTCACCTCCTCAGCCAGTAGGTGGGATAACCAAAGAGGTACCAGTGAATCTTGGCCCTTACGAAGGAAAATTCAACCTGCGAGTGGTGATTATAGATGACTTCAAGTTGATAGTTGGATTGGAATTCCTGAGGCAAACCAACACCATGCCTATATCGTATGCTGTCATTTTACTGATGATGGGAGAAAACGGGGCCAAGCCTTGCATTATCCCGTGCATATCCATGAAGATGGCTGCTAAGAACATCTCGACATTGAAATTGAAGAAGGGGGTCAAAAGACATGAACCTATGTTCCTGACAACCCTCTGCATTAAAGATATAGAATGCTCATCGGTCCCATTCCTGCACCCATGAAGGAGCTGCTACTGGAGTTTGAAGATGTCATGCCACAGGAAATGCCAAAGAGACTCCCGCCTAGGCGCTCTGTGGACTATGAGATTAAGTTGGTGCCGGGCGCGAAGCCACCCGCTCGGGTGCCTTACAGAATATCACAACCCGAACTCAATGATCTTCAGAGATAATTGATGGAAATTCTAGACACAGGGATCATCGTGCCCCCGAAATCCCCATACGGGTCCCCTGTGTTATTCCAAAAGAAACATGATGGCAGCCTGCGACTCTGTGTGGATTATCGTGCTCTAAACAAAATCATTGTGAAGAACAACTAACTTATTCTGTTAATGGAAGACTTGTTCGATAGACTGGGTGGTGCAACGGTGTTCACCAAGATAGACCTGAAGACAGGTTATTGGCAAGTTCGGATTGCAGAGGGTGATGAACACAAGATGACCAATATGACAAGATATGGGTCGTATGACCAACTACATTTTGCACCCTGATGAACCAAGTCTTCCTAGAGTACATTGACGAATTCGTGGTTGTCTACTTGGATGACATTGTGGTATATAGCCAAACACTGGAAGAACACCTGGAGCACTTGCAAAAGGTCCTAGCCCGATTGGGGGAGCGCGAACTATATGTGAAGCTATCCAAGTGCTCCTTTGCTCAAAAGCATATTGACTTCCTAGGACATGTAATCGAGGAAGGGCGAATCAAGATGGACCAACAAAAGATTCAGGCAATCACAGATTGGCTGCCGCTTAAGGATATCCATGCCTTAAGGGCGTTCCTTGGCCTATGCAACTTCTATTGGCAATTTGTGAAAAAGTACTCCCTCATTGCGGTACCGTTGATAGAACTCCTCAAGAAGGTCATGCCTTGGGACTGGGGACCCAGGCGAGCGGAGGACTTCGATGCATTGAAAGTGGCAATGTCCAGTAGACCCGTCTTGGCCCTCCCTGATTTGGCCAAGCCATTCGAGATACAAACAGATGCATCCGACTATGCCCTCGGCAGAGTCTTGCTATAAGAAGGGCATCCTGTAGTGTACGAGATCCAGAAGTTGAAGGATGCAGAGCGGCGCTATGCCACCCATGAGAAAGAATTATTGGCTGTCGTCCATTGCTTATGCCTTTGGTGGCACTATTTGCTTGGGACCCCGTTCGTGGTCAAGACAGACAACACAGCTGTTAGCCATTTCATGACCCAACCAAAGCTGAATGGTTGACAGGCCAGGTGGTAGGAACTCCTAGCTGAATTCCACTTCAACTTGGAGTACTGAAGTGAGAAGACCAATCATGTTGCTGATGCACTCAGTCAGAGAACTGACCTAGCATCGGTGTGCCTACTCGCCACCCTAAGGGGGAGCGAAGTATCCACCACCATCAAGGACCAGATACATGAGCTACTCATCAAGGATCTTGTTGCATAGTATTTGGTTGATTTGGTAGGGCAGGGCAAGACTTGCCAGTTCTACATGGAAGATGGTTTCCTGAAAGTGAAAGGGAACCGACTTTATGTTCCTAAAGGAGAAGATCTGCGAAGGACTCTTCTAGCGGAATGTCACGATACTCTATGGGCTGGACATCCTAGTGAAAAATGCACCATGACGTTACTTCACCGTGCATATTATTGGCCCCAAATGGACGATGACGTCTCTTAGTATGTGAAGACTTGTCTAGTATGCCAGAAGGACAAGTTGGATCGCTTGACACAAGCGGGACTCTCGGAACCACTAGCTATCCCAAAGAGACCTTGGGAAAGTGTTTCCCTGGATTTCATCACCGAAATGCCCAAGGTCAGAGATCTCACAACTATCTTGGTTGTGGTGGATCGGTTTTCCAAGTATGCTACCTTTATAGCAGCCCCACAATATATATCAACAGAAGATACAGTTCGACGCTTCTTCATGTCGTCAAATATTGGGGCCTACCCAAAGACATTGTTAGTGATCGCGACTCACGCTTCACTAACAACTTTTGGACCCAACTCTTTAAGTGCCTTGGGTCAAAATTAAGTCACAGCTCAAGTTTTCATCCGCAATCTGATGGCTAGACGAAGCGGTTCAATGGTATGTTGGAGGAATATCTCCGCTATTTTGTAACCGGATCACAGAAGAATTGGCTGAAGCTTCTGGATGCAGCTCAACTGTGTTCGGATTCAGATTTGGTCAAATGATCGATTGATTGATTAACTTTTTGGACCAAATTTATTTGTTAATAGTAAAATATTAAATGTTATCAAATATTTATTTTAATAATAGAATATTAATATTAAATCCAATCTGTTTTTCTGTTTTGGTAACAGAAAATTAACTACCCTCTTCAATTTTTCCTCTTTATTTTCCCTCTTTATTTGTTGAGTAAATATCCATTTATGTTGTGGCCATTTTGCAAAAACAGCCATTCTGAAGAGTTGCACCTCTTCAGATTTCAGCCCAACTTTGGCTATAAATACAACACTATTCTGCTCACAATTTCACTACGATTTTTTGAGTTTCTCCTCCATCTGCATATTTTTAGCATCAGACAAAGCAATAGTAAGTGTGATTTGCTACCGAACTTTGTGTTCGCTGAAACACTAGGGTTTGAAGTACCACTACACCAGTGTGTAATTCGTTATATCCTAGGAGGAAATAATCCATAACCTTAGTACTAGGTGTCACACCTCCTTTTTCCGCACCCGTGGGGGGTGCAAGGGAGTTTTTTCCAATTAAAGGACAATCGAAACGGGATTTGTTTATTTATTTCAGAGTCGCCACTTGGGAGATTTAGGGTGTCCCAAGTCACCAATTTTAATCCCGAATCGAGGAAAAGAATGACTCCATATTACAGTCTGCGTACCAGAAATCCGGATAAGGAATTCTGTTAACCCGGGAGAAGGTGTTAGGCATTCCCGAGTTCCGTGGTTCTAGCACGGTCGCTCAACTGTTATATTCAGCTTGATTATCTGATTTTATACAAATATGAACTTATGTGCCAATTTTATCTTTTAACCGCTTTTATCATTTAATGTTATTTTTATCAAGAATTGCAACATCGTGGAAAACACATCTCGAACCACGTTACAATCAATGTACCCGTGGTTAGAGCTACGTTTCAACTCTGTTGAGATTGGGATTTGGGTCACATAAATGTGCACCCTAGTTTAGGAAGATAACATTATTAAATACGCGCCTAAAGCAACTAGCGCATTGTTATTTTGGGAAAAGGCCGTGAAATTCGCTAAGCGGCCTGTCCCGAATTCTAAGTATTTTAATATATACATTTAGAGGGCCCTGCAGCTTGTGCATTTTTGTTTGTCGAGGCTCGTCTCATTCTTTATTTTTAAAAGGAATTTGCAAAGTCATGGAAATACATCTCAGACCACGCCACAATCAATATACCCGTGATTAGAGGCACATTTCG